AGCAAAAAAAAAAACGGGTTCCTATATAACCCATATGAGCCTACCTTTTTTGGGCTCCTGGCTTGTAGATCATTTATCACCTCAATCCACAGCTTTTCTCACAGGTGGTCTGGTCTGCAAACGTAAGGTCCACAAGAGGTAAAAGAAATCGCACATTTCGGTATTGTGGACTCTCAGCGCTAGAGCCTCTGCAGCACTAATGAAGAGAATCGTCTTAACGTTGCATAACCTAGAATGCTCAGCATCCCCAACCCCAAAACGGGACCCATACACTCTTTCTGCGCGTTGGGAAGAAAACCCCCATATGGGTGTTCCCCAAAATCAGGGGTCCCATTTTAGGGGTCCCCATAAGAAGGATCATAATATATTGGGGTGTATATTGGGGCCCCCTTATTTGGAGAAACTACCATATGGCCTGGCGGATGGCGACCGCATGCTGTGCGCTGGAGCCGCTTCATTGAAACCAGGCTCATTTTCACTTTTGCACAGCTGGATGGCCCTGACTTGATCAGACAAGACACGGCTGTTAAGCCAGTGCGGGAATACAGATCAGGCAAGTTGAGCATGCTGTGGGTATTACCCGGTCGGATGGCGACCATGTGCTTTTCACACCAGTCGCTTCACTGAAACCGGGCGCTGTTGATTTGGCACCGTTGGATGGCCCTGACTTGATGCACAAGACGCGGCCGTTAAACCGGTGCAGATTTCGAAATAACAAGAGAGTGCGGAAGTGGATCTGCATCATAATCCCTATACATTCCCCATAGATACCCCTTACAAAGGTACCTATATGGGTGGTTGTCAAAATTATGGTCCATTTTTGGGTACCCTAAATATTGGTTGACGTATTATAATAGGGATTCACAAAGGGACCATAATTTTTGACAACCATCCATATTCATGGCATGTCTCTACACATGCGGTATCTTGCGGCTCGGACGACATCCGGCTCAGGTTTTCGTGGTTTTCCATGCGCAGCAGCATGGTTCGGCTCCCTCTACTGGCTTGGCCCCATAAAAACCCTTCGAACAATAAGGGTTTCGGGTTTTAGGGTTTTAGGGTTTTAGGGTTTTAGGGTTTTAGGGTTTTAGGGTCTA